TATATATATATATATATATATATATATATATTCACATCATGTTTTCACAGCACCATAAAACAAAAAAAAAACAAAAAATAGGTTATAGACAAAGGATGTAAGACTCAGACTATAATCAGTTTGTGCTGCATTTCTAATATTTAGATTAAACCTAAAGTCTGTTTTAGCCAAAAAGTACCTAGATGTTTAAAAATGTTCAAAAGTGTTTTTTTTTTTTTGCATTCCTTGTATTCCACATTAAACCAGTGCAGGTTTAAATCTGGCGAGTAATTTTATGTTTAATAAATGTTTCAACCCGTAAAACTCTGAATGTATTAACCCATATTAACCCGTTAAAAGTGTGTGCCAAATGTGTTCATCAGATCATTATGTAAACATTGTATGATCACGAGCAACATTTTTGTTCCTCTAAATTTCAGGTATAAAGATGACGTCCGCATTTTGAAAAACTCTACATGCTACAAGATGTCAAACTATAGCTTGTCCATCCTTGATCTGAGGCACAGGCACTCAGGAATTTACACCCTATTACTGGGTAACCGACTGAAGAACATGTACAGGAATCTGAGCTACACACTGATTGTAGAAGGTAGGTCCTCATTTAAAAAAAAAACAAAAACATATAAATAACATTGGTTTTGGACATTGTCTCCCCCCACTTAATGAATCTGTTGCAGAGCTGGAGAGCTCCTTAAGTAAAAGTCTGGTGACTTTAAATGCAAACAGGAACATTAATATATGTCGTTCCTCACAGCCACTGGTAGACTTTTTATAACCCTTTTAGGTGTTTAAATCAGTGCTTGTTTTCTTTATGTAAATAGTCTGTTCCCCTAACAAAGCTTTACAATTAAGTATGCTACTTCTAATATATTTTGGAATCTTTTTTTACCCTTTTCTATATCTGCATGCTTTAATTTCCTTTTAACATTGCTACAGCTACACCTGAATTTACCCATTGTTGGACAATTGAGGTTACTTCTATTCTTTGAGCACCTGGTCCCCACTGCACTGTGCTGTTGCACACTGAGGTAATGGGCTCTTAGGCCGACTGCCTCAGCTGCTGCTTCTCTGAGCTCAGTCCTCTGGACGGCAGGTAGCAGCTCTAGTATGAGAGGAATTTGAGGGTTTGTTGTTTCCAGGCCTGGATTGACGTAGCGAGGGCAGCTGTTGTTGATTATTGAGGCTCTTTTGAAGGGGCTTGGAGCGGCGTGTAAATGGCCAGAGTTCTATTGTGCTTAAAAGACTCCAGCCGCTCTAGAGCCTTCACTTGTTCCTTGCATTTATTTTGCACTCTCACATGTGTGTATTTAGTGTTGCTCATGTAAACAACATTTTCCCATGCAATAAGTGCAGAACTTGTGCAGAACATGCACAAGGTATGATGGCTTTATGAGCGATGCTGATGGCCGTTAACACTTGAGACTGTAAATATTTTAAGCGTTTTATAAGCAGTCTGCTTTCTATACAGAACAGAGAGGTATAGCTTGCTATGGGGTGGGAGGTGGGGGGCAATGGGTCTTAACCTTTTGCGTTGAATCCTTTAAAGTTTTCAGAGAAATGCCGTTAGCGTGCCCGGAAAAAAATTTAGAGCTCTTCTGGAATGTCTAAACTTTATTTATGACCCTTGACTGTTAGGCTCTATGCAACATTTCATTATTAGAAATATAAAATGAAGCACTCAGACAGAAATAAACAAAAGTAAACAAATATTTCTGGCACAAATTAGAGAAGCATTTGTTTTGGAAGTTTTGAGCCAGCTCTGTCAGAAGACGGTTGGCAGTTGGATGTGGGATTTTTCACAGTTTTCCTAGCAACCTTGTTGGGAAGTGGTGAGTGATCTGGATGACCTCCTGAGTTGGCACCAGTGTCTTGGTCTGTTGTTCATTACACGGTTGAATTAATGACCGGAGAGAGGGGCACAAAAGGGTCGCTCTTTGACCTCCAGCCCCCTGGATCGCCGACCATCCTGCCATTCTTCTTCAACAAAGTGTCTGAAGGACAATTGGAGTCAATGATGCTTTTTCCACAGCTATCCATCATAACTGTCTCCTTTCATTAAAAAGACATTATGGAATACCACAACAGACATAACAGTCAATCCAACCTGTTTCTCTCTTCTTTCTTGCCAGTTAAGCCGACTATTTCTGAGGCGGAGCTCTCCAGCCAGGACCTGCAGCCCTACATATCTGGCAAGCAGCATCAGCTGACCTGCACCGCCTTTGGACAACCCCTACCTGGCATCACCTGGCTGTGGCAGCCGTGTCACACTAACCTGACACTTGAAGAGTGAGTCACAGTCTCTGCTATGTTCTCCAAATATCTGAACTTGATCTCATTCACAGTTTGGTAGCTTTGGTCTTAGAAATGAAGAAAAATATGCCTGCTGGAAGTTTAAAGTTCAGGTTTTAAACATTCAAACTTGTGTATTTACATGTAAGTGCAGCGTATATAGAATAGAAAATCCCTTTATTGTCCCACGATGGGGAAACTCTGGTGTATAAAGCAGCAAAAAGAAAAATGGTCAAACAAATACGGATCTTAGAAAAATGTATAAGAATAACATAATGGTGAAGAGTTAAAAGATGAACACTAAAATACTGTACTGTAAAGTGTTTTAACAATAAAAATACTGTGTACCTGGAGACTAAGTATCCAATATACAGCTATGGGCATTTTTACAGTAATGGTGAAATAGAGATGTTTTTGTGACTCATTTCAGAGAGTAAAACTCATATTTCATCTTATCAATTTCACGTAGAGTTGATTAGTAAAGTCCAAATATTGCTCTGAATATCTTATAGGATTAATAAAACCAAAATGCAAGACTTCTAAAAAGCATGTATCTTATATATTTTAGGCCAGATGGTCCAGCCTGGCATGTCTTACTGTGATTTTACCTCTAAATTAAGCTTTAATGTCAAATTCAACTTATTAGGACCTTCGATGAACCAAATGTACTACCATACAGGCTAAACCAGATATTGGCAAAGGTTGATTGTAGGAAGGAAAATCACCAAAATGATTTAGTATACCAAAAGACAAAAAATAAATAAAAAGGTAACGCCTTCAAGAGCTGCCCTCTTATTTCTGGTCAGTAAACCTTGTAGGTTGACTGAGAACCATGGGGAAAATATATTAAATCTCAGATTCCCTGAGCTATTATAAAGCTGAAAAGCATTGAGTGACTCAGCGAATAAATGCCGGCCTGAAAATGAACCCTCTAAAAGAATAAACATTGGGACGTTCACTGGGGTCTTGGCCCGTCAGGGGTATCAGCAGACCTTTGAGTGCTACAATCAGAAAACAATGGGCCATTACAACTGGCATATCAGCTTCGAACTACTCTGACAAAAACAACAAAGTGGAAAGAAGGAGACTAAATTGTGTTTCACGCTGGATGGTTTTAATCTGCAAGTTTTTCCGCAACTGTTTTTTATACATTTTCTCCAAGAAAAATGTAAGCTCCGTGTTTTTTTTTTTATACCAAAGCAGAGGTGGAACAAAGTCTGCGTTCAGGCCTAAGCATAATCGAGGCTGGCATCAGGAACAGTGGCCACACTGTGGTGACCAGCTAATGAGACTGAGCAACAACTGTAGCCTGGTGGGAGGCCAATTGTGCAAAAGTGTTTGTTTTACACAGCCATAACCCTGCGCAGAAACATGGCGCTGTGATTATAAAATGTGGCCCTTCAAGCTCATATCTCATCTTAATCTTTAAGAGTGATGGGTTTAGAGGGGAAAAGCAGTCAAACATGGGGATATCTTTATCACCAGGTTGAGGAGTTATCAGCTGTCCCTGGCTGACCGTCAAGGTGCTTCAGATCAGCCTTATCTTCTCTGGCCAGAGTGTGTGTGTGTGTTTGGGGGGGTTAGGAATTCCTGTGCGAGGTGCCGTACAGCCCTTCCTGTCGCTGCTGTTTCCTCCTTTTCCAGCTCATCAGGTTGATTTGTCACAACCGCAGCCAGTGAAGGGCTTTCAGGGCTGTGGGTGGCTCAAATAGCATTGTCGTCCTGGGTCAGCCAGTGGCTCCATTGCTCTAACATAGAGCTGGTACGTTGGCTATCACCTGAGGAGCACGCAGGAAAAGCGTAACTTTGGATCAGTCTCACCTGTAGAAAGTCTCTGTGCAGACGGTCATAGTTTGCAAGCGCTCTGATGACGCAAAAAAACTCAGCAGTTCTGTCAGGTAATTTTTTAAAAAACTTTTGCTAGATAAAGTTATAATCAAGAGCATAACGACATGTATTGTATATGTATTAAGGTTGAGATGTTTAGAATAGGAGTGCCACTGCCAAGCGAATAGAGCATGTATGGAAGGCCGATACTGCCAAATGTTCAATGAGTTAAGATATTTCTATTTCTAAATGTGAAAATTTTAATTTCACATGCATTTAATATGTAAATATACTTTTTTGTTCTAAAGAAATATATATATATATTTTTTACTTAACTGTTCAATACATTTCTTGCTTCCAGAAAAGGTTACTTAAAAATGTAAAACTTCCTCTTTGCTTTGTGAAATATTCTCTTACAGCCCCACAGCAGTAATATTTGTCCTCTGAATATGATCTTGTCTCAGGGAACAGTTGGCTGCCACACTGAGCAGCTCCCAGGAACACTCCAGCATTGCTCAGGGACTAAACATTGTACACTAAATTTCAAACCAGTGGTTTTGCAGGCCTGTCCAGCATTCAAACGCCCTGCTCTCAAACCACTAGCCTACCACTCCCCACCACCTCATACTTAGCTTCTAAACTCTTGAGAGTTAAACAATATTGCATTTATGCAGCTGTTAAAACATAAAGACCCTTTAGATGCAATTTAAACTCTTGACTCCATCAGATTCAAGGTCCCCCCATCAAACATCTATGATTCTAAGAAATATTTTCAATGTTCATGCTACACATGCAGCGGACTGGGTCAAAGTGAAAACGGCTGATGTCAGACACTAGAGTTGCAGAAGGAAGTAAGCAGGGCAGTTATCGATTTAAAGGTACATAATAACACAAGGATAAAAAATTAAATGTCCACTTTATGTTAAAAAACAACAGCTGTCATCAATTGTGGTCTGGCTGTTTAGTAAAAATGCTTGGAAAACTGCATATTTTGCATATTTTAGGAGATGTAAAGCTGCACATGTCTAAAAGGGTTCTTAAGATAAATTATTGGCATTGAAAAACAATGGCTGATTATGATTAACACATGTTTCAGACAAGAACCATTTAAATGTTTTATGCATCTAGTTTACAATATGATGATATTTGCTGCTTAACACTCCATCCAGCTGAATTTTGCAGGATAGTTTTAAAAAATCTTTTCTTTGCAGCTGCCCTTCTGACAAGAAGCCAATCCTGGTGCAGCCTGGTGACCAAGGAGATAATTCCCACAACTGGATCAAGAGTATAAATGTCAAGACTGAAGTGCTTCAGGGAAAAAACAAGGTGTGTACTATAAATTCTTTATTAATATATATATATACAATATACAATATACAATATACAATATATATACAGTTTCAACACCAAGTGACAGTTTGAGAGAGAACAATTTCTTCAGACCCTAAAAATGCAGCAGTGCTGTAAATACTTGTGCTGCTTCTAACATCTGACTGACATCTGAATGACTTTTTGCTGAAGCTCAAACTTACAAGAGCAGGGCTGCGGCACAAGGCCATCTGATTACAATAAAGTCTGTATGTATTCAGCCACACTGCTTGTAAGAAATCGCACTATGAAACATCTGTGCGCTTCATTTTTATTTGTGTCTTAGCGATGCACGAAAGACGAGAGTTGTAGATCTGACCTGTGAAAACCAAATGCCTGAAGCTAGTGCTTTGCTTCTCTGACCTTCAGTCCCCCCACCCCCACAGATAAAGGCTAAACCTGATCCTGTGGAAAAATTACTTTTTTATTATAAGTTTTATTTTAGGAAAACATTTCTAACATGTTAGGGATTGATAATCCTACAAGTGCATTTCTTTTCATTAAAATGAAATTACAGCATTTTTGTTTGAAGAGAGCCTATTATTGCAATGGCTTTACTTTAAAATTGTGTTATTCACAGGGAATTGTTATTCAGCTATCATTTGATCAAATGCTATTTGACCATAAACAGGTTTAAAAGCTGTTTTAAGAGACTAAAGCCTTCCAAGAAAATATAATCATATCTGCAGTACCATGCAAAATCCTGAGTTCTTCCGCTTCATTTTAAATTCTGCTGATCTTTAAAAAATCTATCTTTTTATATTAAAAAAGACTTACAAGCTAAGGAAAAGGTGTGGGCATTTATCATGTCATTTATCACTATCAAAAAAAATTTCAAGTCATGACAGGAAATTTGATTAATCCTCCAAAGAACGAATTAGAATTAGCGATGGTAAACAAACTGATGAATTGTGAATTTTTTATGTTTTTTATTTTTATTTCATTGTCTCCAATGGGGTATTGCCAAACTCCAAGAGTATGAATAAAACATCTATGTTTAGTGATTAAAAAAACATGTTAAGTGACAAAAATCACAGTTTTTTATGTAACTGGTGTCTTGAAGAAGTGTATTTTGAATTTGTACGTTTTTTTTCAGAGCAGTATTTGTAATAGTGGGGCTATGATCAGTTAACAGTAAACTTTAAGGCACTACTAGGGAGGGATTTCGTGAAGAGATCATAGTTTGTATCTTTGGACCCTTGTATTCACAAATGTTTAGAATTTACTTCCGTTTCTTTAAATTTATTTAGCTTAGCCTATAAAATAAAAAAATACTACAGAGTTATATAAACAAAAATAAGTGATTCTAACAACAAAAACATGATTTATAACAAATATTTAGATGTAAACGACTCAAAAGGTTAATTATGGAGATCTCAAACCTTTTGCAAGCTCTTAAACTGTTTCCTAGACTTTGGTTGAGAAAGAAGTCATCTTCAAAAGGAGATCCAGCTTCATCACTGGATGCACTGTGCTGATGGGTTCAAGGATTGGACAGTGAAGGTGTAAAAAAAGAGCCAAAGTATAGAGAAAAATGCGACACCTTTATAAACCTATAAAAATGCTGAAGCAGAGTTTGCAGGTTTAAATTTATTTTTCACTCCTTTCAAGTAAAGTTTAACAAACTGTACATTTGTCATTGTACATTAATTTTCTATAATTTTGCTTTGTGGAAGTGGATATTAACAGTCGCAGTATGAGATCCACAGTTCAAAATGTAACGCCATCCACAGCTGCAGACACGGATGCCCAGGGAAGCTAGCAACTTTAACTGTTATCCTAAAAGATAATTAGAAGCAGGTTTCTCTAAACCTCATCTAAGTCTGTCTGCAGGATTAGGTCAAAATAAACACTCTGCAGCCTGCTGGGTCAAAACAGGGCCAGACATTCATTGATTTAGTTTGTAACATTTTGTATTTTCTTTTTGATTCATCCTCTTTCACATGGTTAAAAAAAAATAAAAAATATATTTACCTGGACATCAATAAACTGTACATTTTTCACAGTGTGTTAGTTCTAATATGTGACTGACATTAATGGGGGGACACGACTAATTTACACGCGCTCGCTTTCGGCCAGTCGCTGGTGTTTTATGAGGGTTGGGATTGAGGGTCAATGATAACAAGCACCAATTTAAAAGGAAAGGGATTTGCTGGCAACAAATTCCTCTCTGTCACCCCACATAAATCGTGCTGGCCAGTGAATGAAAACACAGTCAGAGCAGCCCTCCACATAGCCCATTGGAAAGGCGAAGCTTGCCCAGCTCAAAGTTAGAGGGAAAATGTTGGGGGGGGTTAGCGGGACATGTGTATAAGGGGTCACAGTGCGTCTGGTCAGGTCACCTCTTCAGGAGTGTGAATGTTTTCAGTCTCAGGTTGCATCATGGAGGGTAACCTAATACGATAAGGCCTCTCCGTCATGTTTTTACAGATGACACATCAGCATGCACTGGACAACATGATACAGCTTTAATCTTTCTGAGCTGACTGCCTGTTTTTCAGCGGGAAGCTTTGCAAGAACCACGGGCCTGAAATGGGTTAATTTTTTTTTTTTTTTCTGAGAGCGAACACAATGGCTGTCCAGGAAGTTCTGACCCAGAATACACCAGACAATCCTCCAAATTGTAGCTCACTGCATGCCAAAAAAAACAGATGTCCTCGAAAACATTAAACAGAACCCACCGCCGTCTGGCATCCATCCAACTTTCAGTTATTATTTTGTCTATCTAAGCCATTAAAACGTTGCATTTGTTATAAACTGAGTGTGTCATTAGTGCTGCTTTCCAGGAAGTAGACATTATACCCCGACTATAGGCCTAAAGTACAGGTTTGAGGGTGACTCAGTGGGATTTAAAACTCCAGATGTATCCGCTCATTAACATCAAGTTACTGATAAATGTAAAGTGCCTTACAATAGTACCTGCTCTCCCTGCCTACTAATTAGTGGAAGTCTGCAGGTTCTTGCTGGTATTATATTTTATTTAAGACATCAGAATAAGGCATTGAGGTTTTTAGAAAACAGCTGTATTTATGGTTACATTAAATTATGACATTTTTTATGGTAATTCCTGTGTAACCATATAATTATAGATCCCAGAATGAACAAAACTTTTTATAAAAAGGAAGCTGTCGAAGCAGTTACTGTATGCCTGGTTCAAAGAGGACTAAAATCTGACACCTGTCCCAGCAGCCATTATACTACACAGTTTTCCTAGAAGGCCGCTGACAGTGCTTCATTTTTGTCCACGTCTCTTTTGCTTCGGAGAAGTTAGAGAACTGCAGGCTGCAGATTTAAGATAATTTATTAAAATTTTGTAATTCCTTTTCTCTGTTTGCAAAGTTTGAACCTGGTGAAAACAAAATCCTCTGGCCTTCATAGAACAACTTAAGGTTTTCATGCAGTATAGAAAGGTTTTGCAGTTTGATTTCATGTGGATTTTAACATCAATCTACTGTACATACCTTTAATGTGTTCTTGGATGCATTGCTAATGCCTTTCTAGTGAAAACTGGTGAATCTAGTGAACTTTATTTTTTTCTTTTCAAACTGATCTCATTGAAAATTAATTGACTCTTGGAGGATATGTACGGTTATCCTAAACTTGAAGACAAAAAAATAAATCAAATAGCAACATGTTTGAAATAAATCTCCGTCAAACAAAACAAAGATAGCAGAAATCATCACCTGAGTTTTCAGATTTTCTGTATTTAGTGTCATCTGTTCTAATCCATGTTTGTCTAATGCATTTGTCAAGTTAAAAACAACAAAAACAAAAAATGAGTAAAAACCTAAATACTGAAACAAGACGTAAAATAGCCTTTCTTTTATATCAGGATCAAACTTTAGAATAAGGTTAATGGTTGGTAATTAAAATATCATTAATGGTTTATAAACAGATAAGGAAAAAATGGACATTTCATTCTTTGTGGAAATAAAAAGTTTTATTTATGGTGAGAATAAATCAGATGCAGACTGGTTTGATTATTGGGTCCACAGTAGAATAGTTGGTCGTACGGTTCTGGGTTGAAATCCAGTCTCTGAGAGTTGTTAGGCTAATTGATCTGTTAATTGGTGATTATTTGTCTTGTGATGGACTGGCAATCTGTTTCAGGGTGTACTAACTTCTCCCCCTATCACCGCAGGAGAGGCTAGGGGATTTTTCATGGTAACAGGTTGCACTGAATTTTATTTACCGTAGTATTGTTTTATCAGAAAGAGCGAAATAAAAATCCATGCTGCATTTTGTTTATTTCTATTGTAAAAAATCTCTCTTCTGTTTTTGTGGATGCAAAATATGAGTTGCTTTATCCCTTCAAATAAAACAATAAATAAGTTGGTTATTTTTGCTACAGGATATGTACCTGGCGATGATTGAGAGCAATGGCAGTTTGCAGCTTTCCTGACAAGCTTTTTTGATAAGCTGTATTATTACTGATATCTGTCCAACTTATCTACCCTAGACTGTGAGCACCCTTGTAATTGGAGAGGCTCGTGTGTCTGGAAGATACCACTGTGAGGCTAGGAACAAGATGGGCATGGCCAGCCTGACTCTGCCTTTCTATGTGGATGGTAAGTGGAGCCCCTAATTGCAAGACCCTGGATTATTTCAAATGATCTACAATACATACTGTAACAAACTGCAAGAGTGGGAAAAGAATGCACAGATTGTGTTGTGCAATGAAGAGACCAGAGGGGGGCATTAATTGAAAACATCTTCCACTGTAGTTGAATGGTTTGAATGCGGAAGAGAGGCTTGAGTGTCCTAAACCATATGGGGGGCTGTAATGGCACGCGTTTAAAAACAGCTATGAATAAGTACATTCCTGCTTCGCTGCCAGCAGGTCATTCCTCTCTCTCTCTGGGCCTGTGTGTGCATGAGAGACTTTACTTTTTATGTGCATCTGAGTGTTTCCAAATGTTCCCCAAAAGGTTGTCCGCTGAGACAGTTATGTAACAACAGCAGGGATGAGGTGTTTGAATAAAACAAAACACTTTTTTTTAACTTGTGCAAATTATTTCTACTGAAAAGCAGATGGAAAGGAATTTAGAGAAGCCCTTTTAAAGTGAGGATGAAAATAATCTGGGATTATTCTCCCAGAAATATTCTAAGGAGCAGGCCAGCTCTCCACCACGGGTGAGAATGATGGAGAGTGATGGAATGCTACAAAAAAGAAATAAAATAAAAAAGGACAATTGTAATAACAGATGTCTTCTCTTGCAGAACAGCGCATGCTTTCCAGCAAAACGAATAAACAAGCACAGTCTGTTTCCCGTGGGGTCACATAGTCAGCCTTGCTCCAGTTGGAGCTCTGTTACCATGCTGTCAGCCAACGTGCTTCCAATTAATAGTGATTAAACAGGAAACAACTGCAAATTTGACATTCCTTCACTTCTGACAAGCAGTTTATGTGTTAAAAGACCATAGCTAGTGCATAATGTGGGCGTCTTTACTGTAAAACAGATGCCCTGCTGACATTTCAAAACATTTGTAACTGTGGAAGATTTATGAAGATGATGCACAATTTCTTCTGTTTAGATCACCAAGAGGAGGTCTCCATTCAACCTGGATCAGCCATAGAGGGAGAAGACGTCAACTTAACCTGTAGGGCCACTCGTTTCCTCTACACTGGCATACAGTGGCTGGACTCCAACAATGAAACAATCACCACCAATCTATCCAACCTCAAGATCAACCACTACTCCATTTCCTCATCCCTCAATCTGCACAGTGTGTCCCTAAACAGCACCGCTGGTTACCAGTGCCGTGCATTCAGGAAACACAGTCCAAGACAGTCCAAAGTCAAGAAAGTTGCCTTAGTGGTGAAGGGTAAGGAAACAACAAGCTAACTTCATCACAGTCTGCTAAAATGGCCATAGAATATAAGTAAATCAATTATTTAAAGGTACATTATATTGGAGGATATTTTTTTCTGGTGGAGTCATCTAAATAAGTGGTCCTCCTAATTGTCAATCATTCTGGTGATATGTTTACGTAAGGCCGTCATGCTCGTCCCGTTAGCTATCTTTTTTGCGCATGTGCCCTTTCAGGTGTATATGTGTGGTGAGCTGCTGTTTCAGACAGTCATTGAAGCTCACCTTTCTCACCACGGTTCTTTGAAAAAGGCAGAGGGTTATAAGAGAAAAAGTGGCTACGAAGTGTATGAGAAGAAAAGAAAGGCCTCAGAAGAGGCAGATATTTCCCTAAAATGCATGGAGAGCTCTCCTCGGAAAGCATTATAGAAATTGCTGTCACAGCGGCCCACTGTCACCATAGGCTGTCGCTACCTGACAGCAATGACTAATTACAAAGATGGCACAGGCTGCGTGAACTGGAGGAGGAGTTACATGAGCAAAGGGGAGCAAAAAATAGTGATCATCTGTCCAAACGGTCAGTTAACTGAGTTCACTATAAAGTCCCATATATAGTCCCCACTCTATATAGTGATTGAGGGATTTAGAGGTTAGGTTGTTTCAGGCACAGTATGGTTGTATGGTCGATGCAAACAGTAACTTTTAAACAGAGCGTCCACGAGGAGAAATGGGTCCAGAGCAGGAGTGGGTACAGGATTGTGCAAACATAGGGTGGACTTTTAAAAAATTTGCAAAAAAACCTTCCACTATACCTTTAATCATTTATAGATTTCATAGTTTTAACTGAACTGTAAATAAATAGCAAAATAACTGATCTGATTAAGTTTTAATGGGCATAATTTTTATTAGCTAAAAATATTTAAAAATCCATAAATAAAATGTAATTTCTATAGTAAATAATTGTATACAAACAATTATTCATAAGGACGGCATAAATCCAATAAATGACAGTGAGTACATTACTGACCAATCATATTGAGAGCTCTGGTAGCTCCGCCTACAACCTCCAATGGATAAGGCTTATACATAATAAAAGCTCAAGATGTTTTGCAGCAGGTGTCCATCAAATAATTAAACTTTAAAACACAAGGCCTTTTTTAAAATAGAATAAAAAGTTATTTAGAACAGACTCCACCTATAAATCAATTAGTTAATTTATTTTGAAATTTCCTAAACTATTGGCACGTTTAGGATATCAACGACTAAATTGTGGCAGTTAAATCTGTGTGTGTTTTAAACTTTGTGTTGAGTGCCAGCTCTGGTTCAGCCTTCTGCTTATTTTACTTCAGAGAGAAGACGACCATGGCTCAGCCAGAATCTGACCAATCAGGACGTTAACAGCAGCAGCACGCTGGTCCTGCCTTGTTTTGCCTTTGGGGTTCCTCCTCCACTGATCCGGTGGTACAAAAATGGTGTCGAAGTGAAAGAGAGTCCAGGTATTCTTCAGGTCAACACCGCATGACATCATATACTAATATAGTATTTAATATAATTGCTAAAAGATCAGAGTGTGTAAAACATGCATGTTTTTTGTGGATGCAAACTCAGCTGCTGAAAGTATTTCTTCTTCTTTTACACAACCTATCCAACGTATTGAGAGCCATGTTTTTTTGATTAAAATACCACAATCAACTCGGAACGTGTGTGTTGCAGGGGTCACGCTGGAACAAGACGGGTCTCTCATCATCGAAAGAGTGAAGAAAGACGATGAGGGTCGGTATGAGTGTGTGGCCCAGAATACCGAGGGAATCACAAACACAAGTGCCCTGGTCACTGTGCTCGGTGAGTCCGTCTCTGCTGAATAAGGAGAAAAAAAAGAACATCAGCTCCACAGATCAGATCAAAAAGACTAATTAGTCCAAGCAGTGGGGCCGGAGCCTTTCTTGTCTCCACATCCAGGGGTATCAAAGAGGCCGTTATGGCCTCCTGTTTTCTTTTCATCACTGCAAATAGCTTTGGCCTGACTTTAGTGAGGAAAAATGGCCCCTGACGGAAAACTGGCAGCTGCCAGGAATGCCAAGTGAATTCCTTCATGGGGTTTATAATCATGGGTTTGGCTGGGGGCCTTTCTCTAAAGGACATAACCTGTGTCGATTGTTAAGAGCCTACAAATAACTTTTTTATTATTAAAAAAAAGTAATAATTTCAAATGCAACTTTCGTCATCATTACATTAGTCTTTTCCATTTTTCCCTGAACACGTGGAACGAAGCAGGGAGCTTGCTACAGGTATTTCTTATAATATACAATGAAAGGGTGTTGATAACGTGTCACATGGAAACAGATCAAATGCAACATATTCCATCCTAACCTCAAACATAATCACTTCAAATCAGAATAAGTAAACTGTATCAATTTGCACCTTGAGTGAAAAGTAAAGTTTTTACATTAGAAATATGACTTATATTGCAGCTTACGAAGATCCTCTGCGGGGTACAGTCCTTACCAATTTGAGGTATTTGGATTGAGACTTACATGGTAGGATAGGGGCTCCAGACTGCCTTGGCAAGTTTGGACAGCTTTCATCTTTTCAAAAGTCATCCAAGGCAGAAACGCACATGGATGATGCTCGTCAATTTGGGACTACATGCTTACAAAAAAGAACTACAAAAACATAAAAAGTGTCTGAAGCTCTCCCTTATAAAACCCAAAAAATATGAAGATGTTTTGCATGTCTCACACACAGTAGGTGTCCCAAAACAAGGTATTTTTTTCAAATTCCTGAGGTGGTCTGTGCTTATAAATTTTGTCATGCAAAGGATCGTATTGTACAGCTCCAATGCAGACCTGAACATTGGGAGGTCCCTATGCTAAATGAACTGTCGATAGAAATCATCTAGCTTCTTGTCCTAACTCCTTCCTTACTGCCAGTACTGTTTGAACAACACTTCCACTTTGGCTTAAGTGTCCTTAAGTATGTGATAAATTTGCATGCACCCAGTGAATAGGGTCCACGCTAACCCATCCTCTGAAAATGAAAAGTGTATGACACAATTTTGGAAGGTATAGTACCTCTGGACCCCACAGACCTGGTAACTGAATCTGTCGATGATAGAGGTAATAGTTTCGTTCTCTGCAGATCAGGGGCTACAAAGCACTTAAGACACAGGCCTTGATTTAAATATACAACCAGAGCTTCAGTGGAATGGTTTAGGTGAAAGCATTGTCCTGCATTAGAATGGCCTAGTCAAAGTTTAGTTATAAATCCTGTGGAGAGTCTTTGACAAGATGATCATAGTTGTTCACAGGTGTTAATCATCCAGTTTGACTTAGCTTGAGCTAAGTAAGCAGAAGATCAAAGCTATTGAAGATAAGCGTTCCACTTTCCACTAACATACAACTTTGTGTTGGTCTCTTTGAAAAGATCCCAATTATGTACGTCACATTTTCTGGTTGTATTGTTAACAAAATGCAGGAACGAGTATTTCTTCTGATGCACGGTAAGGGATTGAAATATTCTGGTCATTTTTTTTACTTTTTTTTTTTCTTTTAAACCAAGATTTATAGTTGTCCTTGCTGTTTGAATGTTAGTCGGAAACTGGAAAATAAACTTTTAGTGATTACATGAATGGCTTAAAGAAAAATGTTAGGAAGAAACAACTCTGGAAGAAATGCGGTGTGTTTGTCCCACACAAAAATGCGATTCCATCGAAGGAATGTGGAGACATGAAAGCCCCCTTGACTTCAGGCTAAAACAGTGATTTCTATTTGTAAATTTTCAACAGACAGTTTAGGTTTTGAGGGTAAATTCTCCATAAATGTTCTGTCAACAAACCACGGCAACAAACGAGTTCAAGAACAAAAAGCATGCACCGATTTTACGCTAAAGCATTCCGGCAGCTGACAACAGCTCTTCTCTTTCTAGGAGATGAAAGCAAGTCAAACATTGAGGTCATAATTTTGGTGTCCACTGGAGCTGCTGCCACGTTCCTCTGGATTATGCTCATCCTCTTCATCCGAAAGCTCAGGAAGGTAAGATCTGAGCTACTTGATTTCTGTAAAACTGGGCGCTACTTCTTAGTGTCAACAAGTTTGGCTCAAAGACAGACTAACTCATGCCTGTTGGGAAATACGGTTACTGTGAATGATAAAATATTCAGGCTTTCTATGTAAGGCTCTGCTGAGTAATGTAGAAAGCATCAATCTCAGCATTTTTCAATCACTCAAAATGAAACCTAGGATGTGAAAGTTAACTAAAGGTCTAATATAAACTTCTGTTGCTCCTTTAGCAGCCAGCGCACTATAAGATGGGACCATCTATCATCATAGATCCTGACGAGTACCCCATCGATGAGCAGAACGAACTCCTTCAGTATGACAGCAGCAAATGGGAGTTTCCCCGTGACCGCCTGTGTCTTGGTGAGCTGCACTTAATGATTGCAAAACCTTAGTTGCATATATGAACTGCCATATGTTTTGTTTTTGTTTTTTTGGAATTAGGTAATTATAGGCAGAAAATTCCATATCTTAAAAAATGGACCTAGGAGAGCCTTCTAATCACACAAAAAATGTATTGCTCACCCTTTTATTTTTTTTGTAGTGTAACTGATACATTAAGCATTTACAGTCATGCATTTATCATATTTTCCAAACTAAAACAATATGGAATACATACATTGTTAAACAATTGACTCTGGAAATAAAAAGGGACTCACAGTCAGCCATCTAAGATAAGATGATCCACTTAAAATTACTTGTTTATTATGTGCTAAGAATTTTAGATCGTTTATTACTTTCTTACGCTTCTAAACAAAATACCTATACAGTCGTACCAGCATACTATAGTGCTTTTCCTCTTATCCCATGCATGTGCACAATACTGGTTACATGTCAACTGATTGTCGGAGAGTCAAAATTGTGCAAAAAGAGTGTAACTTGCTTAAATAAATACGAGTTAGGATAATTACTTCCTAAATCCTGCATTCGTCTACTAGAACACTAAAGCCAAAGAGTGATTTTATTTCCCAGTTCTGCAGTGAGCCAGTTATCCAAACCAACAAATAAGCACTTCATGAGTGAAGAGTTACTAGAGCTAATACTGACAGAACCTGCATGGGCTCAGCTGAAGAAATCTGATAAGTCTGCTGGAGTTAAGAAGAACGTTAGAAAATGAAGGGCTAAAACTGAATAAAAGGCTGCATTTACAGCAGCACTTAATAAATCCAGTTGAGTACTCAAGCCAGTTTGTTTTTTTATTTATTCTAACTTCTAAGATTTGTTTAAAATGATCTGCCAAGGAGATAAATGATGAAGGGTTAAAAGCTAATTGTAAAAGTTGTTCATTAAGATGCATAGCAGTGGTGTCTCATCTCTCTGCAGCTGTGGAGTCATTTCAAGCTGACCTACAGTGTCACCCCAGCTCAAGTGCACAATAAATTAAAGTCTAAACACCAGAATACAACAACCTTAGTTGGTTTTCTACACCCGTTCTTTCTATGTTTACCAAAGTATCCCCATGGAATCCGAGTTAGCTCATTTTATTTAACATGTTTGATGAATTTTTTTTTTTTTAGGTAAAACTCTTGGCCATGGAGCTTTTGGAAAAGTGGTGGAGGCCTCTGCTTTTGGGATTGACAAGCTCTCAACCTGCAAGACTGTTGCAGTAAAAATGCTGAAAGGTAGGAGGGACATTAAAACACCTTAGAAACAATTAGCAGTAAACTTAAATGACCAATGACATGGGTTGTGTATGGAGCGCAACTGATGTATCGCTGTTGCAAGGAGTTGTGCTTCCTGTGCACACAAAGCACACGTGCAACTGATATTTATGTGGTTTTATGGTTCAAAGGAAAAGAATTAGACATGTGTTTGTTACAAAGGGCTGTAGAGGTAAAGGCTAAAGACCTCTAACCCTGCAACTAATGAAGAGATTGAGTAAGCTTTCACCAGACCACTTGTGCTGAAGTTTTCTCATCTGCAGGTGAGGAAAAGTTCAAAAGTACATGAAATGTAAGCAGAAATGTTCATGTATTTCTTTATATTATGGTTTTAGAAGGAATGTTTTTTACTGCAGTTCCTAGCAGTGGGAACAGTCGGTTATTATAACTGCCTCAAAGTGAAAAGACAAACAAAAAACAAGCAAATAAATTGACTTTCCTCATACCTTTCGTTCATATTTGGTGTTCTTTTTTTCTCTTTTGTTAAAATGTAAGAATTAACCTGCAGACCTGGAAGAGAATACAATTTGTTTATATTTCAGCAAACATCAATAACAAGGCTTTCAGCTAACCCTTATCACTGCTGGTCTTATCTTTGTGAATCACGCCTTGGCATAAATCACAGACTCTGAGAGGAAGAGTGGTCGCAGGTCAGGTTTAATGGAAAGCAGCAGCTCTATGACTTCAGACTCAACGGCTGCTTTTGTCTCATAAATCTGATCTCGGTTAAAGCAACAACCAGAAAGTCTTGATTTGTATTTGTCAAAATGATGTTTTTGTTCAAAAACAATGACGATCAAATAATTAATCTGAGCGCACATTGCTTATCCTATTCTTTTCTGGGTTTAATTTTTATTTTAGATCAGGATCCATCAATAAATACATTTTCTTTAATTTAATTCTCTGATTGCTCTCATGTTGTGAAACATTAGAAGAGAACGCTTTTTGCTGTACTGTTGGTTTAAAACAGAGGGATCATTCAAATCACTAATAATAGGTGTCCCAGTAAATGTGTTGCTGGAAATCTACTCAAAACTAATACTCTTTTGTTTCAGAATTTCCTCCTCAGTAAAACACATTTCTTTAATTTCCTTAACTTTAAAAAGAAACGTATTAAATAAAAGAGTTACTGGTTAACTCAGCCTCTGTGGAAACTAGTTTTAAAATGAGGATATTTTTAAAAAAGTGATCTGTTTTTGCAGGTGGTGCTACATCAAATGAGCGTAAAGCTCTGATGTCGGAGTTAAAGATTCTGATCCATATTGGGAATCACCTTAATGTTGTCAACCTGCTGGGAGCCTGCACTAAACCTGGAGGTGAGCTTGAGTTGGGCAACATGTTTAAAAAGGAGCAGATTTATAACAAAATCACATTAAGGTTGACAATAGAAGGGTCTCTGAAGGGTGGGAGTTGAGCTATTCATAATCACGACAACTTCATTTTCTTAAACAGGACCTTTGATGATGATTGTGGAATTCTGCAAATATGGCAACTTGTCCAACTATTTGAGGAGCAAGAGAGACGACTTTCTTGTTTACAAGGTGAGCGGCTTCATGAGTGTGACTGTGTTGGAAAAAAGTCTCCATGCATGACAGGAGCAGCTTTTCAGCCTCTTGTTAATGTTGATGTCCTCTGTCAGAGCCAGGATGGTAAGGTGGTGTCTGCAGGGCTGGGCTGCGAGCTGAGTGAGCTGATGAAGCGGCGCCTGGAGAGCGTGGCCAGCACCGGAAGCTCTGCAAGCTCTGGCTTTAATGAAGAGAAGAGCTACTGCGACTCGGAGGAAGAGGAAGAAGGTAAAAGGCCCAGCCCGTCTTCCTTCCCTACAGCCCCCGTCTTCCCTCTCCCACCCTCCTCCTCAGGAACGAAATCTCCCAGCAGATTGTTTTTAGGCCTGATGGGAGGTTTCCTCCTCCTGTTCGGCAGTACAATCGTTGCAGCAGGAGCCGCTGTCACCCCACTGTGTCTGGGGAGGCATTTGTTTGTTTCCTGTCCTGACCGGAGTTGAGCTCTGCTCTCTGGCGCTCAGCTCAGCATGTCAGGCTTTTTTATATCCCAAGTGTTATTTCAGATTTGATTAGCTGTTTACTCAGGTGGAGCAAAGGAAGGACTCCTGAGAAGCTACTCAACAAACGAGGCTCATTACCACACGCTTCACCTGACATCCTTTTGAAAACACAGAAAGAAGCAGTTTTGATCTCTCACTCTTAACGGATGTTTTAAAGTCAGAATGTGTAGGCGGAAACAGGACATCACGTTAGGTTGACTCGTCTTTACATTTGCAGGCTGCTCTCATGGGAACCCCTTAGGTTTTATCATATCTTATTTATCTGACAGGTGAAGGAAGCTGTCCTCACAGATGGCTTTGAAAAATGAGAAGATTAGATAAGATGTGTTTCTTTAAATTGATGAAAAATTCCGCTCAGAGAGAAAAAATAACTTTTTGTGCTTTTATTTTACAGAACCTGAAGATTTATACAAGAGAGTTCTGACCCTGGAGGATCTTATCTGCTACAGTTTTCAAGTTGCAAAAGGCATGGAGTTCTTGGCTTCACGCAAGGTATTCCCTTCTGCAAAGAGACAATTCTGTAGTTAAAGCCACAGGCAACATCTTTTATATCTCAGGTGCAAATATAATATTGCTAATGTGACAAACCAACACATTTTGGAGCATGATTGTGATCTGGAATTATATTTTTTAAACTGTGCATAGATTTTACCCTGTCACTCTTTACCAAAAACAAAATCAAAACAGAATATTGCACAACACCCTGAGAGTACAATGTTCCCACACTGACAGCTGGTAGTGGCATCATCATGCTGTGGGAATGCTGTTTTTTAAGAGAGTAGATCTCAAACCAGTTGCGAAACTTTAGTAAGAATGAAAAATTGCTGTCCACCAATGGCTTCCTTACATCTGACCGATCCTGAGCTATTTTGAAAAGCATGTAGGGACATACTCAAGTAGACCTGCTGTAGTAATTTGATAAAATGTAGTTGAACAAAGTAAAGACTGAGGGTGAAATACAAATGCATGCATCACTCCAGGTTATGATAAAACTGGATCACTCTTTTAAGGGGTGTATGGAAATCTGCCGCTTACATAAAATCCTTATAAATGTGATGAAAGTCATTGAAAGCAACCTCAGCGAGAGCATGTCACCTCTGTTTAAATCCGCTTTTAGTTGTGTTTGTAAGATAATATCTCCCCTGTGGTTTGTAAAGGATGTCAGCTTTGATCCAATAGTTAGATCCCATTCATAGTTTTGAGGGGGAGCGGATGAGACTGATTAGAGAATAGAGCTATTGTTGTAAAAAATACCTTAAGCAAAAGAAAGAAAAAAAATTAAATTCCTGTCTTACTCTTACTGATCTCTTGACCACATGTTTCTCCTGCTCCATTGTTTGCATGCCAGTTTAGTGTCTGAGAGGGGTAGCATGCTTGTTTTTTTAATAGAAATGTTTCTGTGCATCTGAGTGAATGTTTTCCCGTCTTCCATCAGTGCATTCATCGGGATCTGGCTGCTCGGAATATCTTACTGTCCGAGAACAATGTGGTGAAGATTTGTGACTTTGGGCTCGCCAGAGACATTTATAAGGACCCGGATTATGTGCGCAAAGGAGACGTAAGTTTCTCAACTCCTCTTGATGTAATTACTCAGTTATTTACATTGCTGTTTGATATTTAAAGCTTCAGAGTAGGCCACAGGAGAGCTGACGGATAAAATAAAGTTGATCTTTTTATTCAATTTCAGCATAAAAACCTTTTTACTTTACTGTTAAAAATCGCTGTGTGGTTTGAGGATTGATAAAGGAGATGTAAAAATGGAAGAAAGCATTAAATGGTGTTGATCATTCACAGGCCAGACTGCCTTTAAAGTGGATGGCTCCTGAAGCCATATTCGATAAGATCTACACGACAATGAGCGACGTCTGGTCCTTTGGTGTCCTGATGTGGGAGATCTTCTCTCTAGGTGAGTATCACCAACCCGCACCAAGCTCTAAATTATGTTTAGTTAATCTACCTTTTGGAAAGCTGAGTTCGGTGTCATTAGCCCTGCCAAGGCATGATTACTTCCTGACTGTTATAATTTTTTGGACAAAATGATATCGGCTTAAAATGTCATGACTCAGAACAGTGGGACTTAGTATTCAAGCCAACAAAAGCATTTATTAAAATACTGGTGGACTGTGGATCTGCAGTAGCAGCAGCTAGGGCGTCCGAGGCAGGAACAGGTTTATATGTTCAGTTAATGCGTAAAAAAACAAGGTAGGAACCATCCGGTGGGCTGCCAACAAGATGCAGCGGGTGCTGCCTGGAGTGTCCTAGATTCTGCAGCCCCAGAGAACAAGCAGGAGTCTGAAGACAGGTCAAGCAAACCATTAAGAGGAGAACAGGCAGGTTCAGTGGTTGAGAGGCAGAACAGGTCAGGATCAGGAAATCAGAAACGCCAAGGAACTCTAAAAACACTCTGACCAGTGGGTAGAGAGAACAAGAATAATCTGGCCCTGATGACTTGATGCAAGCATGTAAAATAGAGGCAGGAGCAGGTGGATGAGATGAGCAGTGATTAGAAACCGTGCAGAGTTAGGCAGGTGATTGGAATGAGTAATTAAGCCAGTCATCAGTGCCAAGATCATGAAAAAAATATCTTAAAAAGCAACAAATCCTGCCTTGATCCCAGTTAGCTGAAGAACGGAGGAGAAATAAAGTGTTAAATCAAGTTTCAAGTCAACTTCTGCTAAGGGACAAGTGCAATATGACGTGGATGAAAAAAAACATTTAGGTATCTTAATGTGTTTTCTTCTCTTTAAAAAAAAAATATCTGATACAATATGTGAGTTATTGTTTTACTGGAAAATTGAATAAATTCTGTTGGGAAATAAAATATAAATGAGAGTTTTTCCGTTTTTTTCTGAATTTTGAAACACAAAATGATTTTTTTAAGGACTGGTTTAAACAGCCTTTGCAAAAGCACAGAGTAATAACTGTCTTCTACAAGACAAACAGTCTGGAACTACATAGTCAGTCTTAGAAAACTTTTTTCTATTTTTTTTCCTGCCGTTCTACAAAACATTAGCACTTGTGTTAGCTCATCAACATGAGGCCAGGCATGGGACATTAAATCTACCTCTTCTGTATATGTTATCTGTTTCATGCCAGCTGGCAGAGTAAACCCACAGCAACCGACGTAAAAGTGCATCCCTGCTGTGCAAACACTGCGGCCTTTGAGGCAGCGGTTGGATGTCGCTGTAGGACTCCACTGTGCCTCTCAGATCCCAACACATTGCTACGCCACGAGTTTACATGAAATACTGCATGGTTAAGAGTCACAACGAGAACATAAGAGGACAAAAGCAATGCTTTCGTCACCTACTACTGTTAAACTGTAGGAGAAAGGACACACAGTGACACTTTTACAGCTGGGTGCTGTACGCTGGGCCCTAAAAGCATAAATCAAGAAACAAAGAGTAAAAGCAAAGCATCATAAAAGAAGGGGTTTCTGAAAGATATTGTTACCTGTGGTAGAGAAAAAATATAAAAACAACATTTATTGGAATCTATTAAATTATATGGAGAAAAACTCCCATTGTCAGAATAAAATATTTTGTAACCCATCATTAGAAACACAGTTATTGCCAGCCTTGCTGTTCCTCTTTTACCAAAGATACAGTAATTCCTAAATTATATTTCAAAGTATGACTTTTTCTTGACCCAAATTCTCTGAAGATGGTTCAGAGCTGCAGGTTTTTTCTAATGGTCTTATCTTTTTCACCTCTAGGTACCTAGATTTAATATTTAAAATTTTCTGTTTTTTCCATCCCATTTTTTTTATGCATCAAAATAAGGTTTCCAGGGCCTGCAGAAGAACCCCATAGCACCACAGAGCCCTACATAATTACATTTGTGACAGTGAGGCGAGAAAAAATATATATTTTTTTTTTACTGGCAGCACTTCCAAAAAAAATAATAGCTGGGATGTAATGGCGGCCATGTCGAATTCACTATCCCAAGATCCAACCCTTTCTGCACTTACTGGACAGAAACCATCAAATATTTTTGCCTCAACATATTTCCACCTTATTGACTACAATTCTTAAAAATGTTATCTTTTTTCATCCAAAGATATATATCAGTGTAAAAATAGTTACACTAGTTTTTCTTTTTTTAACACCAGTTTTATATTTAATTTTTTGCTAAGGTCTGTTTAGAACGATCCAGTCTCTTTTTCTGAGTATTTTTTAAGTTGATTTATTATTGTTTGTAAAAATTGTCTGAAATAAATTCCTTTTCATTTATTCGGATAAAAAAACAAAAAGTTGTGTAGCTGCCCCCTAGATCCTCCACTGCTTGAGTGCAAAACATCAAAATCTAGATAAGTCCTTTTTTTTCTTAAAATAAGTGAATTTGTTTTTTAATTGAGGTAATAAAATAGACACTTTGCCAATGGAACAAGACAATTTAGATTTGAAATAATAAAACACATTTGCATTGTCTTATTTCAAGTGCATGTTATCGAATTATCTAGTAATTATGTAATTATCTAGTAAAAATACTCATTCCATTGAATAAACTATCTCATTTACCTACTCAAATTAAGGGTAAATACACTTAATTTAAGAAAATTTTACTTATTTCTAGATCATTTTTCCAGTGTGCAAGTAGTTGATGGCAGTTTTTTTTTTGTGGCTATTTTAATAATAATTTAACTTTACTGATCTCACACTGGAGAAATTTACCTCTGCATTGAAGCCATCCGCTTGGGGAGCCATTGTGCAGCACCCAGGGAGCAGTGCGGGGTTAAGGGTCTTGCTCAGGGACCCAGGGTGCAGGTTGTGGGGATTGAACCAGGTAGTTGCAACCTTCTTAGAGCATGAGCCCACTGCTCTAACCACTAGGCCAACTCTCCCCCAACCTTCAATTCTCCCATCAACCTTCACCTACTTAAGCCCTTTTAAGCTGCTGCTGGAGTTTTGATCCATGTGAACAGTAAGTCTTGGAACTGAAACATATTTTGGAGAGACACTAAAAATGATTAATGGAGGATTTAAACAAATAAAAATTAAATCTGATATTTCAGTTTATCATGAAATATTAGATTTTATATGTCATGTTTTCTCATGGCGGCTTTGGGTTCGAACTCTTATTTCCCACATTGGGGATAAAAAGTAAATAAATTCAGCAGACGTCCCCCCCTTCGAGCTGGTTGAGTGATAAAACAGATGGATTTATGGCGCAGGCTGAATGAGAATAACAGCTCTGTTCTTTTGCTGTATGTAAAAAGCCACAGCTACGTCATGCAACTGTTTCTGATCACAAGTCCTTTATCTTAAAATAGCTCTCAGCCGATCAGTAGTTAATCATGCATTTTCTAAACTCATGCTTACATTTTCTGTTTGATGTCAAGCCACATTATTATTATTAAAACTACGCCATTCAGCCACTCACTATATCCCATTCATGTATTTCTGTAAATTATTCTTTTTAAAGGAAAACAAATGCTGTATGCTAAATGTAATACAGACGTCCTGCTTTTTTTTCCTCCCCCCCAGGTGCCTCTCCATATCCTGGCGTCCAGATTGATGAGGAATTCTGCTGCAGGCTGAAGGAAGGGACCCGGATGAGAGCACCAGATTACGCTCCTTCTGAAATGTGAGAATTTTCTCTTCACTTTTCTTCAGTACAACAGGAAAAAAGGAAGTTTAAGACATGCTGTAAGTCTTTAGGGGGCTTTTAAATAGACATTGAGTTACAATTTTAATAAACAGCAACAATTGAAAGGCATTAAATAAGTTATTTTTCAGATAACAGTAACACATTTTAATGTATACTGGGATTTTAGGTGAAAAACTAATCCTAAGGAAGACATGGGATGTGAAAGGAGAAAGATGTGTTTGAAAAAAAATTAATGAATTGCATTTTGTACTCAGTTTTTTCACTCTAATATACCTTAATGGAATCCAGTCTTTATTAAAAAAGAGAGCCATTGTTTATGGAAAACCATCTGAAATTATGTTTGCAGTTTTCCCTAAAGCCACGCAGAGGGTACAGCAAACAAGTTAAAGAAAAATTGTTGGTCAGATAAGACCTACAGTAGCCAAACATTTTGGCCTACAAACACATATGTGTGGTGGAAATCTACAGAAAGACATCACCTAGAATAGTATCAAATTAAACATAGTGGTGGCAGAATCATAATGTGGATCATGATGAAGACGGGAACATTTTGGAAAAGCATGAAATAGAGTTTTACCATCCAACAGGAAACCGTCAACCGGAGCTACAACTTAATTTACATCAAAACACATCAATTTCCTACAGTCTCAGATGCTCTCCATCCAAACTAAAATATTATTGGGTAGAATATTACCTGAAATACTGGGAACTGATCTGAAATACTAGGAAGATTGAGGCTCTCATTAATTCATAGCTTATTGTATGTCAATACTTTTACAAGAGCCAAGTAAAACATAAGCAAATTAGTGGATAATTAATCATCCGACTCATACCTCCTGCTAAACATGACTATATTTACAGCAGCAGCCACAGCAACCTATATTTGAACAGGGTCTAATTTCTCCAGTTTACCAGCAGCTTTTTGCCTGTGACGCCTGTAAGAGTCGGCTCTTAATGTTGGACAGGAAACTTTAGCTACTGGTTGCCCATGCAGGCTCTGGGCTTTTGGAATTCTTTCTGAATAGCAGTGACACACGTGAAATTGAGCATCAGATGGCCACGTGCACAAGTTCAACCAAGTTTCTTTTATAAGCAGAAGTTGGGGGACTTGAAATGAATATATGTTGAAGAGCATGGTCCTCTTCTTTGGTAACGCTGCTGTCAGTCAGCAATGTGTGATGTTGTTTTGTTTTTTTTGCAGCCTTAGGATGATGTCTGTGCATATTGCGTCTGCTTTTAATTTAACCTCTAGTTATGTAGAGTGCATTATAATTTTCTTTTCCTAGAACAAAATTATTTATCAGCTTCACAAGAGAAATGATTTGAATATGTAAATGGGAAATGAAACCCAAATTTGAAGATTATTGACAAGAATTTTGTCTGCTTTTAATCTAAAGTGTTGATAAACCTAGTAATCAGGTCAAACAGGGTGCACACTGGTGCAATGGAATTCATTGTGCTGAATTGTGGGGGTTAAATCAGGTCTGGAGACCATGAAGCGTTTCATACCAATTTGAGAATAGAGGAATGTTTAAAAACGCACAACACTAGAAGAGTTTTTAATTAATTTGAGCCTCTGTCGGCATAAATTCCTCCAGACTGTGGTGATGTTATGATCCATCAGAGAGGAATGCGGCGGATGCTTTGGAAAGAGTGGGTGCACAATAAAAGGATGCTCATTTCCCATCACATCCCTAGTCTTTCCTTTACAAAAAACAACTCTGTGTTCAAAAGAATCACCAACATGCAGGGCTGTGTTAGTCATTCTCATTAAGGAGCAGAAAGGAAGTGTGATTTAAACTGTGTTCTGATACATTGTGTGTACTTCCTGCTCAATAAGACATGTACCATCTCATCCAGGAGGGGTGCTATCTGGATGAGCCGGTTAAAACCTGAGAAAATTCAATATTTAAGGGGTTAATAATTAAACCAGAACTTCTCAGATTTAATAAAAATATTCTTTACAATAATTATGATGTAGCAGTAAAATCAAGGTTTTCAAGATTTTCTTCTAAATAGAAATTTGAAATGTGTGCCGCACATTAGTTTTTAAACCCTAATGGGTACCATCCAGTGCAACTGATTACCTTCATTTGTGACATATACGCTATTATTGTTTAATTTAATGTTTGTACAAACACAGATATCCCAGAAAGACTTCAGCAGTTTGTTAGAGATAATTAGTAAAACATTTTGCCCTGTATTTCAAATGCTGTGTTGAGATAACGCTTTGCAGTGGAATTATCATACTGGGAGAATTGGAAAAAAAACAAAAAACAGGTCTGATTGGAAAAAGATAAAGCTAAATACAAGGCAACCCTGAAGGAAGACTGTAAGAAGCTGCATTAAATCTCAATATAATACCCTGAGATTTGTGTTATATTTCCATAAAATAGGAAAATGCTTAACAGGCTCAAATACTTTTGCAAGGCACTGTATGTTACTAGTTGTCACAGATGAATGGCAGTCAGAGGCAGGCAGTGCATGTAACTGAGACAGGCAGCAGTGGAGCGATGTTTATTATCCTCCACTAAACAAAGGAGGTCAAGGCATAAAGGTTCAAAGCTCCTCACATGGTTAGAGATGCTGACAGCTCAGCAGAGAGCTGGTAGCAGCTGAATGCCTTGAGACCAGGGGAGGATCTAGGATTCTAGGAGATCAGGGCCTTATACTACATGCTATCACACATAAAAATTCCCCCTACATAACATGGGAAGAAATTCATTTACCTGCAAGTTTTTAACTGTGTTTATTCCTCACTTCAATAACAAACTCTGTGGCTTTAGGGCTGTTTGATCATTATTTGGCAAAGTTATGAGAGGGAAATAAAATATTTTAGCTACCTGATATATTCCTCCCCCCACCCCCACCCCAAAAAAAAAAAACATAGAAAAAATAGAAAAAAATTTTTGAATCTGTCATTATGTTTGAAACATTTATTATTTTATAGTTTGAAATAAAAAATAGTTAAAATAAATATGACTCTTGTTTGATGATCTTTATGAAATGTATTTTCAATTTTTAATTCAAAATGTCTGCTGTAGCATTGCTCCAGACATTTTGAATTGAGAAATCTCTCTCAATGGAAAGCAAAACATCTTCAAGCTTGGAAAACAAATTCCAGTGGTTTTGGTTTTGAACTTTTTTTGGAATATTTGTAAATTGATAGATAAACATTTAAACAGAAAATAAAGAGGATGATGAAGAGAGGAATAAAGACAATTAAAGACTTTCAGGGGAATTAATTTCTTCCCATGTTATGGAGGGTGAACTGATTATTTCAGGCAGCTGAAATATCCATTCTCTCCTCTCCTCCTCCCAAATCTCTGGGAAATAAAGAGCATCTGTTTCCAAATTCCTCGAAAACGGTTATGTGTGCATAACCGCATCATATACTAGCACATCATATACTAGAAATGTCCTTAATCCAGTAATCTGTCATATTTTACATTGGAACGGGATTCCAGAAAGTCTACTCTCTCTTCTTATTAGGAACTCTTAATTTTTGTGGCCTGCAATCAGCCAGTTTCCATCGTCTTATGTCACCAATGAAAAGTTATAATACACACTACGTGTTGGAAAACTGTTTGGTGACTGACTTTTATTTCTGTCAGGCTAAAGTGACAGAAGTTGAAAAAAGAGCATTCTCTTGATGTTTAACATCTTGGGGAAACATCCAGGGCTGTAGCCCAAGTAGATCCATCCAGGGCTGTAGCCCCCCTAGATCCGCCACTGCTTGAGACACAGCCCAGAAGCTCAGAACCTGTACACTTGTTTCTGTAGAGGAATAAAAGGACCACCAAAACCCTTATGTTCTTCTCCCTCTTCCTAAAAGTGTTACATACCACTTTGCATCAGTCCAAACACACAGTCCCAGGCTTGATTCCTTCAGGAGAATCTGTTCAGTGTGCTGAAAGGTTGAACTTTGTGCTCAGACGTTTCTCCTCTCCTTTTAGATATCAAACCATGCTGGACTGCTGGCAGGGAGAGCCACAGCAGCGACCGACCTTCATTGATCTGGTGGAGAGGCTTGGAGACCTGCTTCAGGCCAGCGTACAACAGGTACAGTACTCTAAACAAACCACTATGTGTACTAGTCTGAGCTTCAAGCTCATGTAGTCCAACTGAGTGAATTAACGGTTATTTAGAAGTTTATGTTCAGTCATCGGCCTGTAGGTCATATCCACTTCAACTTTAAAGGTGTACAGTCACGTTATATGCCTATAGCAAAAAGTCCAAAAGCCATTTGATCATAATGAAATACGGATATAAACTCTTATATCCATCCTGGTGGTGTTTTGAGTCTTATTTTTTTTTTAGCTTAAATCAAATAGTGGGTGCAATAAACAGGCATAAAGAAATATGCCACTGTCTACTGTAGTACTGCAGAACTATCAGAAAGCCGGATGGCTACAGTTGAGGCAGCTACTTAATAGAGCCCGACTGTCCTGCAATGCATCGCAGTCAATTGACAGGTCAGCGTTTTCAAAGACCAATGGACATTGATTAAATAAACTGAAACCCATCCACGACAAATCCGAGTTCTAGTCAATCTTCCCCTGAGCATCCTATCAGAACATGAAGGGAAAAGAAAATTTCCATTTTAACAAACGCAAAAAATGACATATCATTAAGGCAGGAACCAAGCAATCAATCTATCCACGTATCTATCCATTTATAACACTGTTTAAACTTTTGCAGCATCTAGAGTGTCTGACTTCAAAGTACACTAGCATCCAACTTGGACGCTTTTTGACGCTTAAAAAACTCACTGTATAAGTAAGTTTGAGTCTTATCCTTTTAGGAGTCAAATATTTTTGTGTGTTTTTCTCACTGTATATTGGACCTTTCTTCATTATTTTCACACTTCGCAGGGAGGTGCTTACTGGTTTAGCTGTGGTAAGCTGCTTCCTTGTTTATTCCCTCCTGTGCACATGCACAGTATCTTACCTCCTCTGTCATTGCAAACATACTGATAAATTGAGTAAAAACAAGGTGTAAAACACAGTAATAACAAATAATAAGCCAGCTGGACATGGTATAATTCAGAAAAAAAAATTTCAGGTTGGAGTAATTGTTGACAGGGAAACTGACTGATTAGAATCATTTTCTGTTTATTAATATAGCTCCTATTTAAAAAATAAAACTAATCTCAAGGAACTTAAGACATAAGGTACAGAGGCTTGAATTTATTTGTAATATTTTTATTTTCCATTGAGGCTCACAGTCTAGCCTCCACTGGTCAGTAAATCCTGGACAGGTTGCCAGTCCAACCTACAGTAATACAATTCAATTCAGTTTATTTATATAGCGCCAATGCACATCACATGTCATCTCAAGGCGCTTCCTTATAGTAAGTCAGTTTGGTACTGATGGTTGAAATGGGTGTTAAAATGGATGTTGATTAAACACACATACATAATGGTTTTTGACTGAGCAAAGCAGGCTTAAACCTACTGTCTAGACAGGCCCTTACACCAAAGGTATGAAATTATGTTACGTTATGTACTTAAACGTTGTGTCCTCTGTCTGTTACTCTTCCCAACAGACAGGACCAAATGTTTCTTTGGAGGTATATTAGGGCCTCTCTGTCTGTATATATCCCTTCAGCGATTAGAGAAAATCTTGAAATAATATAAGATGAAAGCTCAAATAATATCTCTGAAATTGCAAGCAAATAGCAAAACGAGTGCTTATATTGTAGTGCACCATTAAAAGCCCAACATTAAAGACGTGCCGATAACTTTAGGAAAAACTCCTGAGCAGAAATGTAGAAAAAATAGAACTGAAAGTATTCTCGTAGTTGTTTTAACTGTGTATAAATGAAATCACTGTCATTTATAGGTATTACTGGACTGCAGTTAATGACGTGTGGCCAGGCGCCATTGCTATGCATTGAGTCAAAACCATGCCATCTTAATGGGACGTGCACATCCAGCTGTCATAAAACTGGTCGCAGCACCTTTATTTTTTTATTATAGTTTTTATAAAATATGGCTCATATTAAAGCTGAGAAAATTGCTGATGACATGATATGTATAAACACATACTCCCCCCCAAACATAAATCCATAAGAAGAGTTGGAACTGTTCATTAATGTATTTATGGGTTTACAATGCTATAAAGATGCTTTCTACTTGCTTTAATAGCTCAAGATGTCTAGTCGTGATTATTGTATCACAGTTAAGGCTCTGCTCTGGTCCAGCTTGGTTTTTAAATAAACAAACCTTGCAGTGTCAGGTTTCCCAGACTGAAGCCCAGATAAAAAGAAAAATGCTTTGGCAGGCTTTCAGCTAACATTTGTTCATAGCAGAGCAGGTCAGACATAAACACTAGTGGCAAAAAAATCAAAACACTAGCATGGTCCATCTTGCACAACTAGCTTAAAACATATTTGTTATAAAATATAACAAATATATTACAAAAATATAACAAATTCTTAATATATAAACTCTTTATAAATTCAGCTATTAAACAACTTACTGTGAATATTAAAACCTTGCATTGCATCATTAAACAACCTATAATTAATCAGGTAAAATAATTTGATTTTTCTCATTTAAACAATCTGTATATTGCTTTATTTGTTTCTCTTTTTTTTTTTACAAATTACATTTCATGTCTATTACATTTTCATTATATTTCAGACAAACCGTCAAAGCCAGTCTCCTGTGTGTCACACTAGAGACACATATCCAATAATACATATCAGTGGTCACTGTATTACTGACTAGATTACAAGTACTAGATACAAGCACTGCATAGTGTTGGAAAAACCTGATGATTGTAGATTCAGAACAAGATGATGCTTGCTGTAAAGGACAAGGAAGGGAACTCTCAGCATTCTTTGAAATGGCATAGCAGCACTTCCCATAAAAAAGAATCACATGCTGAAAAATGCGTAATGCAAGTCATTCTAAATTGTCTGTGTGGACAGTGATCAGTGTCTAAGACTACAGACTTTGTGTTACTGTTAGGGGGATGCTCAATGACCCTAACCTGTAAGAAATGTAACCACAATTATCTATTTGGTTTGCTTACATAACATTGCTTTAAAGAATGCTTGTGCAAATCCCTTTTTTTTTTCTAAATCTTCTTGTCTACAACATACAGACACAGAAGTATTTGTAACCATTGCATTTTTTGACATTTTGTCACCCAGAAGCAAATTTATAGCACATTGTTTTATCAGAATCTCAGATAAAAAAACACAGTTGTTGAAGAAACTAAGAAAAATATAGCTACAATTATTTTTAGGTGTTTTTTTTCCACAAATGAACATCTGGAAAGTGTGGGGTGCATTTGTATTTACTGCCCATTATCATAATGCCCTTCAATGAAATTCAAAAGAAGCAACAAACTGCATTATGAAAACCAAGGAGAGCACCAAAAGTAAAAATGAGAGAGTTAGTTAACAAAACAATATCCCAAAATTTGAAGATATGAACACAGAAAAAGTTTGACACAACTGGACTTTATAAAGCTGATTTCAAAGTATATACAGGAGCATGGGGTAGAGGTTCACATAGAGCTGCAGTGGCTCAGATTAAAGCACATTCAAATGGTGTACTGGCTCTGTCAATGTCCAGATCTCAATCCAGCTGAGAATCTATTGCAAGAGTTGAAAACCAAGATCTGCTGAGGCTCTTTAAAATGGTCTGAGTAGGTAAAACCAACCCATTAACCTGGAAGGTGTTGATTTTATGCATTATTTTCCTTCCACTTTTCAGTTTTTTAAACATTTTTGTTGCAGGATATATTGTCACATTTCAAGCAAGGTGTTGCAAAGATACAGGAATTTAATTTCTCTCCCTGCATGATGTGAAAAAACAGAAAAGGGCCTGGTGATGAACAGCGCTGCTCAAACTCCATATTAAATGGTTTTGAATTTAATAAGCATGACCCCCGTTAGTTTGGCTTGTCGCCACCAACCTTGAATGTTTTTGTTTGCACAGCACACACAGCACCAGCCATAAATCTACCTCTTGTGTTGATTTAGGAGGGAAAACACTACATACCCATCAACACAGCCCTGCTGGCGAAGGTGAGAGAGCAGACCGAGGAGACTGAGGAGACGTCTTCACGGCCCATCTCCCATCGTGACTCAGGAGGCAATTGGTGAGAACCTAGATTGGCTACTTTACAGGAAAATGAACCCAAAACACTTGTCCCACTCATTGACACAACTGCTTGTCCCAGCTTTAGAAATAGCACAAAAATTTGTACTCGGTTGAAAAATAAAATCTCCAATCGGAAGACTTTATCTTAAAATGTTTCACGTTGACCTTTATTCCTCCCTGGGGATCTTCTGTGACTGATCCGTCTCTAACATGTTGTACATTTTTTATTTGTCTTACGTTTTTGCTTATTCACCAAATTCATGCACAAGCAGCTGTGTGTGTGTGTCCAGCTGCACAGAGCTACATGTCTGGCTGTGCAGGCTTTGTTTTCCTGGCTTGCACCGCTGCTCTCTTCAGGAACCTGCTAAAACACAAACACATCAACCAGCTCTCACACTTTTAAACACAAGCAAAGATTATTTGCCTTTTTTTTTGTGGTGAAAAATATCTAAAAGCACCTAATGTTTCCGTTATGCTCCCACGTAGTTTAGAAAAGATGTTTAGCTATGACTAACACAATGAGGACCTGATAAGAAATGTACAGATTTGCAGCTCCTGAGCCTTTGCCACTGTTGCTCCCGCCAGGAATCCCCCACATCCCCCCACCCACCCATCCTAAAAAAAACACAGCGCTGGCGTCAAGATTTAAGTCCACTTATAACAATATTTGTTGAGCTCTTGGGTTTTTACAGCTCCTCCAAGAGTGTTTATTGAGCAGGCGCTGAAAGGCAGTAATGCCAGTCAGGCCAAAAGCAAAAACGGAGCTTCTGTTTAAACTTCTAAGTGTTGAAATACAAAGCAAACAGTGTGTGTTATCAAAGTACAGTGTCATGGATGCTGAAGATTTCTCATGTAAATGATTAGGTTCCCGCAGTTCTGTTGCTGAACTTGACACTTAAATCAAACCAGAACAAAGTCTTAAAGTTGAATATTTCTGCTTCTCGTTCCAAGGAACATAAAGATACGTCCTGCTAGTGTGAAAACATTTGATGAGATCACCATGGAGAATGGGAAAAATGAAAACCAAGAGGTAAGATACTTAAATTATGCTCTGTAACTTTAATATAAACTTGTTCCTATTAATATTGTTACTTATATTCAAACTGAAGAAATGGTGGAAAGTTTTCAGGGTTTTTTTATTTCAGACTTTAGCTGCTTTGTTTCTGTGTGGTTCTTATAATTGATCCTAAAAGTGAGGGATAAGAAAACAAAAGATGTCTCCAATAAAGTGATTTTTCTGTAAAGAAAATATATATATATATTTTTATAAACCTACACTACACACAGACAGGTAATTACAGCTACACTGTCCTCCATAGATTTTTAGCAGCTTTATAATGCAACAGACCATAAGTAGATATAAAAAAGGTGAATTTTAATCCTAGGAACATATTTGGAAGTTGTTTTGTAACAATTTCAGTGGAAATTATTTGTCATCTTTCTATATTTGTCCTCCTCAGGGTCAATCAGACAGCGGGATGGACCTTTCGTCCGACATGAAGACGCTGATGCGATTTGAATCGCTGGCAGGCCGACCTCTGAGCATCATGGCCCTGGCGTACGTAAGATGCAACCTCGCAGTGCCCTTTAAAAGCAGCTAACCAACACAAACACAGACAGCAACCACAATAACCAGCTTGGCAACTGTCCCAATGGGATGGAATGTAGACGCTATAACTGTCATACAAATGCATCACACTTTTGTCTAAAGCAACTGTGTAGGAGTCAAAAGTGCCAAATAAAGAGAGAACTAACAGAGTGGCCATTTTTGCTATAACATCTGAAACAACAATCATGCAGTTTTAATCCCCAAATCTTGGTGCATTTTAGATTACTTTAAGATATGTTTTACTTGAAAATCCAATAATGACACATTATCCTGTTGAGACAAAGAGGAAAAATGAGCTTCAACCTGAATGAAGCAACAGCAATGACTAAGATTTTACTTGTAAGCAGATGTTGATTGGAGCAACATATGGGAAAAAGCTGAAGACAACCTCCGAGGCTTTGAAATTCCCTAACAGCTCACCAAACACCAGAGCCCTATGCTTAGAGTGTCCTTTAGATCTGAAAACGAAACACTGAGAGTTCATTACAGGCCTGCCTGTCCAATCAAGTCCTCAGCCTGGCACAAAAACTTAGACCAAGTATCGAGACAATGATCTATGTTTCATGGGGAGTACTCTCTCACTGGGCAGCCACTCAATCACTGCCATTCTTTGAACTTAAGAGGGTTTACAAGGACCTCCCCTGCAGGAGTAGCCTCTGCATTCATCTGACCTCCCTTCTCTCAGCCAAAAAAAAAAACACAAAACAAGAAAACTCACAAAATCTAAGTTATTTTAACATCTGCACTCAGTAAAAAAAAAACATGTGTATCCATTCTGCTTTATATTTCTCACCAGAAATGAACCTCTCTTATTCATACTGACAAAAATAACATCAGTGGGTGGTTTGAACTGTAGTTTATTAATCAGAGAAAAATACCAGTATGGCGGTTTGTCCTTCTCCTGCTGAGAACTGACCCTTTGCTGTAAGGAGGGACGCTCTGGAAACCGTAGCAACCTACCAAGACAATAAGACTGAGTTTAATTATAATCTTGAAATGAAGCAAAAAAAACAACAAGAAAACTGGATGATTAATTACATGAAAAATAAAAGAGGGAGGCTCTTTTCTGCTGATAATGACTCACATAGGATAATATTTAAACAGAAGTGTATAAAACAGGCAAATATGATGAACACCTTCTAAACAAAAAGATTAAGGATGCAAGCAATGTTTTCTGTCCTTACTGATTATTTACCATTTTGAAATATGAAAATCTGCAACATAAAAGTAAAGTTGTCAGATATTTTCCGTAAAAGTTTAAAATGGGATGACTGAAAAATTGCAAAACTTCAGTTTCTTAATACACTTATGATTTCTAAAATAGAATAATAATAATTGTGAAAAGAAATACAATTCTTGTGTACCTATAAAGGCTGAGAATAACTGAAAACTTAACTTATTTTTTATGACTAAGATAAAATGTAATTTGTTTCTTTCAAAGATTCTAGTTCAGTTGTTAGCAAAAAAGAGGGGTATGTGCTGCTCCAGCCAAACCCAAAAACAATAAACATTTACTGCAGGTTAATTTATATTTAGGGTTCTGCTAAAGACAATTTTCATTTCCTGTTAAATGTATTATTAAGTCTTTAAAGTGCAAAAAATAAATAAAAATACTTTAACCAAGTTGAGTATCACAAAAGTCAAAATGATTACAATTAATGATCAAGCAGCATCAAACTTTATAATTATGAGACGTTATGCTAAATTAGTTTCTTTATTACCCATGAATAAATCAAAAGGCCATTAATTTCTGTAAAGGAGACCTTTGGTTTGTTTTTGTGTTTGAAAATTGTTAATTCCAGTTGCCCTGCAATGGACTGGCAACCTGTCCAGGGTATAATCCGCCTTTCGCCCATAGACTGCTGGGGATAGACACCAGCCCACTGTGATATTTATGGATAACCGACAGAAGATGGATGGATTTCTCTTAATTAAAAAGAAAATTAATTGGATACTTTATTGACCCTGTAGAATGTTTCTTAGGGTCAAAATGTAGTTTGAACCTTGAATATTTTGGAAGAAAAGGTACATTTATCATAAGTTATTGTTTATCACAGTCATTTTACAGAGTGAAGCAATTAGGGTAGGGAATCAATGAAGAGTTAAGCTTTATTTAATTAATGTTTTATGGCTATATTCCTGATATAATCTGCTTGGATTTAGAAAACAACACCCATATATCTAAAAATCAAGAATAATATTGGAATTACTTTAGCTCACTTTGTGTTCTGAAAGAAAGTTCAAATTTAGACAAGTAATTAATTAGTTGGTGACAGTGGCGCTGGATGTACAGTAGGAGATTACCCAGCAACCAAAGGGATGTCGGTTCAAGCCCTGGCTCTGGCTTTAATGATAATTGAACATCATTGATCTCACAGTGGAGAAATTCTCTTCTGCATTCAACCCTTCCCCTTGGGGTGCAGTGGGCTGCCATTGTGCAGCACCCGGGGAGCAATCTTGCTCAGGGACTAAGTGTGAGGGCTGTGGAGATCAAACCGGGACTTGCAACCTTCTCAGAGCACAAGTGCACTGCTCTAACCACTAGGCCACCAACCCCTTTCAGTGTTTTTGGGCAAGACACTTCACCTGCATTGCTTCTGTCAGCGAGCCCCAGGGCAGCTGTGGCTACAATGTATGTGAAGGACTGAATATAGTGTAAGCGCTTTGGTCTCCTGCTTTGAAAAACAGCACTAAATAAGTACAGACTATTTACCCTTAAAGTAAGAAAGGTTGACTTTATGACAGAACTGTATTTATAAAATCCAGAGCAAGAAACAAGACTTAATCCGAGTTTAATTAGAAAAAAAATAAGGAAATTGACCTGGGAAGTTGAATACAGAATAAATTAGAAAGAATTATTAAAATAGAGGAATAAATACTGGGCAGAGTTATCACTGGGATGAGAAACAGCTGAAAATATCTGAAGTAAAAGAAGTGATGTGAGTTACCAGAAGAGGTACATAGATGAAAAGGAACCCTAAGGAGCAGTACTTAGAAAAAACGCAAAACATGTAGATTAAAGTGAGCAAAGGTACCAGATGGTTAAAATACAACTTTCACTTAGGTCCACGAATAAAAATCCAAACTAAAAATTACAGAAGAAGTGCAACATGTATATAAACTCCTTTTTCGAGTCATCTTCTAGTGTTTAGAGGTTTCACTTAAATATATAATTTTTTTTTATCTAATTCTCTTCTTAAACTAAGAAAAATATAATAAAAAAAGAGAGCTACTTTTTTGAGAGCTACTTTTTTTTTATTTAATGCAATGGCCCTTGTCAGCCATCTTTAACTGAAGGGTCTCTTGTGTTTTCAGGATGAAGGCGGTGAGTAAGAGTAAAGAGTCTGCTCTTAACGACTCAGAGAAGGAGAGGTTTCCGCCCACTGTTCCCCCTCTAGATTTCAGTCTGGACGACTCAGCTCTGGATGCCAGCCTGGAGTGTCACAGTCCTCCACCTGACTACAACTATGTGGTGCGCTACTCCACCCCTCCTGTGTAACCTCCCATCTGAACCTCTTTGGAATATCTGAGAGCGGAAGCGCCAAGGCCCCCCGGCTTTGTTCTGTTCTGTTGTGACGCCTCTGCGTAATGGTTGGAGAGGAAAACGAGATTCCCTCTTTATGTACTCAGAAGTGACTCAGCTCCGCTGCATTCCCCCTGTGGATCTATGTGGACTGCTGATTCCTGTTTATCCACGTTGGCTTGTGTTAATGCTGCTGGTCTGTTCCAACCTTCACTGGTGTGTCAAAAAGCTAAAAAAAAAATGTCCTCAGGTATTTTTCTGATCTACTGTGAAACAAACCATATCGATTTTATCTTTACCCTAGAATATAAAAGGAGCTGTGTAGAGCATTCAATTCAATTCAATTCAGTTTATTTATATAGCGCCAGTTCACAACACAAGTCATCTCAAGGCACTTTTACAGTTCAACCAGATCATACAGTCAAGCATTAAAACACGTTAAACACAGAATGGAGTATATTACAGCTTTAGAATACCTTTCCTAAATGTTTAAAAAGATCTTAAATTAAGGTAATCTTTCACTTATGTAGCATAATCTCAAAAGATTTACAGTTGTTTTTATGATCGTGGTAAGTAAAGCCAAGTTGATAACTTGGTCATGTGCTTTACGGATTCATCTGCTTTAAACCTTAATAAAATTAAGAGTTCTTTCATAATTACTCAAACTCCAATTTATATCAGTATTTTATATAAATCAAAACCTGTCTGCATTACTTTAAATGGCATGCTTTCTTGTCGTTCTGCCTAAGAGGAACAAGTGTTTGCCTGAGATTACGTTTATATCAGAAGAAAACAGAAGTTATAAGATGCTAAACACTCTGACCCACTAAGAGAGTAAAAATGATTTTAAAATAATTGGTACACTATTATTATTTAAGGTTCTTACCTATGTTTCTTCCACAAGTAATAAATTCCATTCAAATAAAGGTCTTATATTTTAAAAAAAATTTAATCAATCAATAGAAGCTTATGCTACTCCATTAGGAGTTTAATTAATTCAAAGGCTTTTTACTCATTTTCACCTAAAGATTACTGTATACTGTTAAGAGAAATCGAAATCCTGTTAAAAATCTCTTTATTATTTTATAAAACAAAAATAGCTCTGCCAACTCAGGTTTAAATAACTTGTTATTTTGTTCTCCAGAGTTTTAAAACTCGCAGGTTAAAGAAGGAAACAGGGTCAGATTTAATATAACAGCAAAACATTAACATAACTTCTCCTGGTGTCAGTTTGGTGTGGATTAAACACTGTGTTATCGTTTAGTTTGATCTCCTTTTCTTTATTTCTAACCTAAAATATAATTTGGATAAATATGCATATTATTCTCTGCAGATTCATAGGTATACATGTATTTTAGAAAAACGATTCATAGGAATTTGATGCAAAAACGCTACAAAAAGCAAGTTGCAAATTTATTGCAAATGCTGTTACTCATTTGGCTTTAAATCCGGATTCAACAATAAACAAAATATTTTGTTTCTGTTTCTGTCTCAGATTTCCACCCAGAGAAGGCTATTCTCTGAGCCTGATTTTATTGCTCTATAAAGCTTCTGATTGGGTCAGCAGCAGTTTTCCTGACTGCATATGTTTTTTTTTTGTTTTTTGTTTTTTTCTTGCCTCCTAAAGTACTGTGGGGTGAAAGTTTGAGAGGTCACAGACCTGATAAAAATGCAGCTAAGTTGTGTTCAATAACCACTCAAATAAAAAAACTGTATTTGTGAATAGAAATAAATCCATTCCTTTCTAGATGATGTGGGGAACAATGATGCACTGATGCTTTGTATCAAGTATATATATATACATATATATATATTGTATTGTTACCACATTTTTATGAGACAGTGTTGTAGGTTAAAATTTTTACAAAGATTTCAGATGTATTGTTTGTATTTAACTTGTATCTATATAGTAGGAAATTAACATTGACAGTTTGTATTATGTAATGTTTTTTTATAATATCCCTGTTGTTCTTAGCTCCAAAGGCAAATCCACTCTATCCAAATAGATAATGACTCATATATTTAGTTATTTAGTTCAGTTTTTCCTTTTTAGCATTTCACCTTCACTATAAGACAAAAACTTGATTTTATTGCATTTATTGGTTACAAACTACACATAAAGGTTCCTATTATAACTTAAACCCACATGGAGAGTTACAGTTTTTTTTTTTTATGTGATACCAACACTGTTAACCGAGTGCATTAAGTAAATAAGTAAATAAAGATTTATGTATTTATACTGTCGTTAAGTCCTGATTCTATTAATGGAAAATAAGCTAATTCCTATGAGACACTTTGTAATGAGATAACAGAAGAAACCGATCACAGATTTGTGATTCAGAAAGTCCAGTCTTCTAGTGGATGTGGAATAGATTTTTTGCCACAAGGAAACAACCAAGTATTACTGACAGACAGATTCTGTCAAAGGACACAAAGCTGTCTTCTTATCACCTTTAAAGGAAAGTCAGGTCAGCAAGGAATACTCAATGGGTCATTGTCTGTACCTAAAACTAATACGTTTGCGGTGATTTAATTAATTTAGCGTTAATCAGTAGAAAAATTTAAAAAACAAATTTTTCATCATGATCACTGACTCCAGACATCTTCTGTCAGTGACGTCACAGTGCGTTAAGCCTAGCGCCATTCTCCCCGCTTTACAAGCAAAATCAATGGGAATAACTAGACACCCCTGCAATTAAACAACAACTATTGAGGGTTTCCAGAGGACTTCACTATTGAGATTGTCGACAGCTTTAGTTAAACTAGCGATGCCCGTATGCATGGCAGTTGGATGTTGTAATACATTGGGTAAAAGTGAAAAATAATTCACCTTTCCGATTCATAATCCACCCTGGGTTTGTCGTTGGATTTCCAACTTGAAGAGGGAGGATTTGCCATTGAACTTCTGGCCAGAGAAAAAAACACATCATATGTAGCCAACATTTCAAAGAAGAATGTTTTCAAGATGACTTTGATAATAGCGTGTTGTGACAAACCAGATACTGCACTGGGACTTGCTCAACAGCTGATACCGCACTGTGACGTCACAAACCTGTAGCTGGCAGTAGTGCTCTTTGACAAACATGGATGTCTCTGGTAAAGCACATTCAAATTAAATTACTCTTAATTAAAAACAATTTCATACTTAAAGTACTTTCAGAAGTTTGACTCCTGAATATGACCGGACTTTTTCTTTAACTGTATTTCTTCAATAGAGTGTTGCAAAAATTACACACAAATGAACAATCCTATTTATCTGTATTGAAAAGCAACTGTTTATTTGTAAAACTGCTTTGAAGCAGACTTTAATTTTTGGCATGGTTATTCCCAGAAGCCGTTTAGCTCAACTTTCTCATAGAAAATGACTTTATTAACTCCAAAGTTTATAGGGAAATTTAAGCTATTTATAAATGGCCTAATTTGAACCTGTTCATGCATGAGAACGCTGGTGCAGCTGTGTGATGAAGGTACTGGCCTAAACATAATAAAGAAAAGACAGAGATATAAATGGGAAACAGAACATAGAATGAAAAACACCTTTAATGTAAAACATTAGAATTTACTCTAGTTCAAAACTGTAGCAAAAAATATTAAAGAAAAATGTTTGTTGCCTTGTTTTCTGCAGATTATCATTCGCCAAATGTACTCTCATTCGCTTTAGTCATTATTAGTGTCAACGTTTAAAAAGTCAGCAAAAGAAAGCACAAAAAATGTTGGCAGTGAGTCCTTTTGCAGAGCACATTTAATAGGTTATAAAATTGGATTTACAAAGATAAAATCCACACTTACACAAGTAGCCTAGACACCAAGAAAATGTGTCGGTTTTAATTTAGGTTTGGATAAGTGAGTGAACAACCGACATTTTTGATAAATTACATGTTTTTCCTCAAGCAAACCATGTTGATCACGCAATTTTTACTGATTTATCGCTTTTAGAGAATAAAGAAAATATAGTAAGAATATCTTAATTATTTCCATCTAAGCTTGTCAAGACAGATGGTTGTCAAACAGTAACAAATCAGATGACAAGGGTAAATATTTCCGTGTCAGTATGTGCTGAAGATGTTCTGTTTTATTTTACCAAGTTTTGTCTTAGCTCTTTTTAAACTGTCAGCAAGTATTTAAATTTGCTTTACTTGGTTTTACTTAACTTTACTTTTTGCTGACAGAAGAAGAAACTTATCATGTTATTATATGTTATAACAATACGTTGTTCTACAAAAACAAAGTGTGTTCAGTCAGTGGCTTCTTCAGAGCCGCTGTAGGACAGACCACTGCAGGAGATCCTTCCTGCCTGCTGCCATCAGTATCTACAACCCTTTTAAAGAAACTCCATGTAATCTGAGTTTACATGTGATTTCCTTTGGGATTATTATTATTATTTTTTATTATTATATGGAGTTTATTTCTGTTTTTCATGATGAAAATCCAATGTAAAAAAAAATACAAATTGTGGCACATTTTTTCATTGTTCGCCTCAACAAAATTTCAGATTTATTTAAAAATTGAAAAATCTTGGGACCCTGTAGCAGACTGTGATAGAAAACTTCAGTTCAGCCTGTTGATTTAGTAAATAAAACTCTTCTGAATTTTTCCCACTGACGTCTGTATGGATTGGAGTGTACCAACGGGTGTTTAGCCCCACTCATGCTCCTCTGATTGCGAAAGATTAGTTGCCTTGTTCTAAAAAGTATCAGCAGGCTCTCTATTCCTCAGGATAATGTCCCCATCCAGGCGGAAAAGGAAGGAACTCTTAATCATCCTGAACACGACCAGAGGGCGCCACACTTGGGCGCCACACACACCTTCCTATAGGAAACCCAGGTTTACCAGAGCAAGGGGTGACTAAGTGAGAGGTCCATAGAAAGACAACAGGACCTGATCACGGACTATCCCATGTACTATTATGCTGTGTCTGTGGTAAGGTGAGTTCCCGACACTTGAACATCAATGAATGTCAACAAGTTCCTGGACTATTTCAGGAATAAAAGATGCAAACAAATAGGGGAAGGATGTAGGAGGGGGCTGCTTTTTGTGGCTGCAATGTTTTTTTTTCTGTCATTAGCATCTAACTCACAGTGATTTTCCATTCCTTCAAAGGTTGGACAATCATTTCCACAGGGACAAAGCTGATTCTAATTTAACGTTTTCAACAAATTGAACTGATAATATTTGCAATAATGCAATGACGCTGATCTGCCTTTGCAGTAGGTTTCTGTGAACATACAACAATACTGCCTTTTCAATAAGCCAATTTCTTGGCTTATTGGCTACCTGCCCAGATAACTACAGATCAATAGCTTTAAGATCCCAAAAGAGCAAATTGATGTAGAAAAAAAAGGTCACCAGATTAATAAATGTTCTTGAATATAGAGAACAGAGTAATGATTACCGCTCTGGGTGCTGCCAGTAAATATATAAAATAAGACTGAAAGCAAAGGAACCAATGATTGTTGCATGTTTTGACATAGAAAAAGGATATGACTCATTATGGAGAGAATGAATGCTCAAATAAGATGGAAAAATTGGAGGATGTTTTACAGGATTGTATGTTTATTGCTAGAGAAGAAAACAAACATTTAGAAGGAGAAAGTTATGGAGGTTTGTGATCTACCAATTGGAAAAGAAGAAGAAGGCTCCACCAGTAGTAGGCTTCAGGTGAGGGCCAGGCTCCATCAGACACCAGACAACAACAAGCCCAGCTGTAAGATTTATGTATTCACTCTGTGGGAACAGCAAGTCAACCATTAATGGTCATGTGCTTTGGATTTTGTAAGAAATAATCGGCTGACTTTAAACTTAATCATGCCGTTCTATCTATTGACCTCTCATCTTTATATGGTGTAATGGCTGTTCAAAAAAAATCATGGTTGTTATTTTGGTGGCAATATTCTTAATAAGAAAAACATGTCCTCATTCCATTATGTGCAGGTTTTTGATGGCTCGATCATTCAAGGTTGTACGCATTAGTTTTTAAACTAAGAATTAGATGTTGGTTCCTTCATTTAGATTTATATTTGGTTCCAATCCACCAATGCTAATGTAATCGTCTTACCTGAAATATGGGTTGGCAACTTAATCACTGACAAAGAAATTGGCATTGGGGGCTGGAATATACACAAGACAGATTGTCTTAAAAGAGCAACAGAAATTTCAGTTCTTATTAGAAAAAAAGTTTTAAGTAAACATGCTTCTATCAACATCAGTGGGAAAAAAGTAATTCTTAGCTCTTCCTTTTAACATTCCTTAGGCTTTGTATTTACAGCCCTCATGCAACTTAATTAAATCATAGTTATTGGGGACCTAAACTTTTATAATGATCTCAGCACTGATTCCGGGCTGATCACTCAGGCCATACACCTGCTCTGCTCCACCCGTCTGAAATCAGCTCTGACTGGCGTCACCTGTTTCCATCACTATATTATCCCCATCAGACCAGTCCTCAGTAACAGATTACCTTGTGCCAATCCGATAAGAATAATCCGGCATCTCTTAGAAGTATCTGTTGTCTGCCCGTTACTGACCCGTTCTGTCTCCTGATACCGAGCCCGTATGAAACCTTTCTGACTCTGCCTTCCTGGATATCCTCTCTATTCTGCCTGTTCCCCTTTATCTGGAACACAAAATCGGAGAAGTCCCGCATAAACTGTCTGCCTTCCTCTCCTGGATCACAAGCTGGTAAAGCCTCACACAAGCTGCCCGCCTGTCTGCCTGCAGCCTGTCTGCTCCGCTCAGATTCTGTCCCACTCTCCAAACAAGCTGTTTTTAAACTGTACAAACGTCACTGACCTGTCTTGGTTATATTTGGATCCAGCCTCAGTTTCTTTACAACTTTAGCTGGTTTACAAAATACCTTTAAATATAATTGCTACTTCCTGTTTGTAGTGTCTATGCCTTTATGTTTCACGGGGTCAACAGTAGAAAGACTATCCAGGATAGAAAATGGGCTCTGGACTGCTGTGCTGATTCCGGACAGCCCTTTACAGAGGACTATCAAGGGCGACAGTGGCACCGGGTACGCCTTTGCCCTAAAATGGAAGGGTCGACAGTTCAACCCCCGGCTCCGGCTTTCAGTGTCGTTGTGTCCTTGGGCATGACACTTCACCTGCATGCCTTCTGATGGTGGTCAGAGAGCCCCGTGGCGCCAGTGTATGGCAGCCTTGTTTCTGTCAGTGCTGTGGCTACAATGTAGCTTGCCACCAATCAGTGTGTGCGTAAATGACT